GACAGAAGTCAACAACCCCGAATCAGATCAAGCTAAAACAAGGTCAAGCCACCAAAGCTTTCGAACCGCCATTAGCCAATCTCTAGGTCATAAGCGGACGGCACCCTCCACACCGACACCGAAGTCGGGTCCACGACTATTCACAGTCAAGTTCCCCCACCACCACCGTCGTGCTTTCTTTGCTAGCCATATAGCGGTGTATGAAAAATCAGTAGATACGATTAATGGTGAGCTGCTGTGTTTTGACGCGAAGAGTTTAGGTTTTCACACCGATGTTTGTAATTTCCAAATTAAAAGTTGAAAATGGGAGAGTTAGAGCAATTAATGAGATAGGAGAGCTGTGATCGTCAAAACTGAGAAGTTAGAGTGACAGTGACAGTCGCATCTTCATTTTCATAGCTGAATCTTCAGATTGTTTATTAACCGTCACTTCAGCTTAACCTTGTCAGAATATAAACTCCAATTTCACTTTCCTCAAAGACAATTTTCAACTGCAACATGCTTAAAATATAGGAAACCACAGTGAAGTGGGAGTTTATATTGAAGGGAGTTATACTTTTTGTTATCAGTGTCCTCTAAGACAATTTTCAATTTCGTGAAGCGCATTGTATGGATATTTCACGTTAAACATAACTTTTCATTCATACATGAAACTCACATCTTTCAATACACTATACCCTTTGCATTTTACTTTTCCTGGCATGAAAACACATCGTTAAAAACATTGTTATGTATTAAAATTACTAATCGGCAAATAAATTTGGTTCCTCTCCATCTCGCTGAACCAAATACAATGTCAATAAACAGAGAGATTTATTTACTTGGACTTGATTGCTTGCTTTCTAGTGATTTAAAAAGTCTAAGGAGCCTCCCCTTAGCCATCTTTTTGATGACTATGAAATGAGACTGTCAATCCTGTTAATCTTAATGTTGAGAGCATTTGTAAAACAAAATACACTGCGCAGAATCCCAGGTTAGATATATCAGTAGAATTAAAGTCTGAAAAAAAAATCTTTTAAAATGTACAAAATTGCCACAGTTTTATTGTAATACCCCTTCAACAAGGTGATACCAAAAGATAGCGGGTGCATTACATGATGTTGTAATCTATGTCACAAGGGAACCAAAGTATCGTAAAGTCAACAATATGTCAAACTGACATGATATTGACAAAATTCTGACCACAAAAGTTACAGTCCCAATGTTGTGACTTGGAAATGATAAGTATTGCACCGAACAAAGGTGACAGCATTTAGTTGTCATGCAGCATCATGGAAATTGTAACTTTTATATCAAAACGACATCAGGTAAAATAGATCAAACTAACTTGAGTTTTACACACACTGGGCAAGAGGCTCATAGTCTTCGAGTGGTATACTTGGTTTGGAGTAGTAAGTTAGCAAGCTGCTCGCAGAACTGAATCAAAATGGTAGTTGAGGCATGACAGGGGAATTCCGCAAGTTACAGAGTGGCAATAATTTTTAACAAATTTGGTACTGCCACCACAATGTCATTTTGACATTTTGAAAAATGTCATAGTCGCTAAATAACGTGTGACTACAATTACATATTCATTTCAAATCTCGCTGCTATGGGAGGGGCTTAATTTGGGCTTTAAGTGTAGTACCTGTATATATTCCTGGCATTCTTGCCATTCTGAACAGGCAAACCAGTTCTTTCAATTGGTACTGTTTTAAAATAAATCATTTACTACCTGTGTAGGAAATTGCCATAGATTCTGCTGCGCTCATTCACACATTCCGCTTACATGGCGCCTTACGGAGGTTGTGGGTAGGCAACCCGCGTAACGACCACTGCCTATTTTTCAGCCCGATTTGCGGTTCAGCATTCAGACTTACGTAAAAACAGTATATAATCGAAAATGATCCAATAATGCTCTAGTTTCATTTTGGAAAATTTCATGATGAAATTCTGAAGCGTTCCCGAGTTTCATCAGAATGTCACTTTTCGTCTTTCAAGTCGAGGGAAGGATGTGCACTGGGCATGGGGGCGGCCCGAGTGCCCGTCAGAAAACGGATTTTGAGAACCACTGGACGGAGTTTGAAGATTTAGGGCTCATTCGAATGGACTTTTGATGTCAAAAACTTTTTGTCTAAGAGAATATCCTGTAAAGTCCATAGTTTTTGAGTAAATCGCGTTTAAAGACGCCAAAATGACCCATTTGGGTTGGCATTTTTGGGGGTTTTCTTAAGAAGTATTTATATTTTTTGACCCAAATTTGGCAGAATGTCAATTTATAACAGCCCTCATCGACTGCAATTGTTAAAATTTAGAAATTTCAAAAATTGTAAAAAAAGGGAAATATGTTGAAATCTACGAAGTGTTGGTCTGAACCGAATGTGAGATTGAACAAACAGTTCAATTTCGTGGGGGGTTCAGTTCGAGTACTTTTTGACGTCGTGTCGTACTTTCGCCGCATTTTAACAAATCATGTTCAAATTATGCCTGGCTTTCTGCTTGCTACCGTCAGCTTGGCTGTGAAGCCTTTTAAGGTAAACCCAGGGACACGGCCCCTTTTCAGCATTTCTTTTTAGTCTTTGAATAGTAGACTATACTGCAGAAAATGTGAATTCACTGAAATATACTGCTCCCTTGAAATTTCTTTGACTAACTTATTTATAGTAGTTGACACTAATGGGGTTATGTAGCTATTCAGAGCAAAATCGTGCTACTGTTTGTCTTTCATTCAGGGAACAAAACCTCATGGAACCCTTAAA